TTCAGTAATGTGCACAAGGTCACACACTAAGAAGAGATATAAGTAAGATTTGATGCCAAATTTGCTTGGCATTAGAGGCCAAACTTAAAACCTTTGAGGAGTATTGAACTACCAGAGGGTTCTATGCCCAGTAGAGCGCCAGCTGTCCGCCAACAAGGGGTGACTTCTGGAAGTGGTGGTAGGTCTAAGTTAGCCTTCCTCACTGTGGGAATTGAGAGCCGCTAGATGAAGTGGGGTGAAAGCAGAGAAAACTGGAAGGCCCGGTGCCGTGGCTCACGCCTGTAATCCCAGCGCTTTGGGAGGCGCAGGCGGGCGGATCACCTGAGGTCAGGAGTTCAAGACCAACCTGGCCAACATGGTGAAACCCCATCTCTACTAAAAATAGAAAATTAGCCGGGCATGGTGGAGGGCACCTGTAATACCAGCTACTTGGGAGGCTGAGGCAGGAGAATCGCCTGAGTTGGGGAGGCGGAGGATGCAGTGAGCTCTGACCACGACACTGCACTTCAGCCTTGGGTGACAAGAGTGAATCTCCTCAAAAAAAAAAAAAAAAAAAAAAAGAAGCAGCTGGAAAGTCCTTTGCTCTGGTGAGATCCCTCTCCGAAGAGGAGGGATCTGTTTTCTTGCGGTTGGCTTAGGAGGTGTGCCTGGAAACGGGAGGAAGCAGTGCTGTGGGAACAAAGCACTTTGGACTGGACTTCAGGAGACTGAATTTGTCTCTTCCCTCCAAGGGGGTGGGTCTGCTGGACCTTCAAAGGCACCGTCCCCTTTGGCCTTTCTGCAGGTGAGTTCGGGGGAGCCTCGGGCAGGTGGGGAGTTGAGGTGCTGCCTGTTCCCTCTGTTCTGGTCCATGATGCCCGGTGAAGCATCTCACCTGAAGCCTTGCGCAGTGCTCCGCCCGTGATCTCTAATCCTGAGCCCAGCTATGGCTCCTCCTCCTCCTCCCGGCCTCGAGAGCTCAGCACCCAGGGCTGCGGGGCCGGGGTCTAGCCCTGCCCAGCTCATCGCCCACGCCCAGGCTTCCGTGTGGCCAGCAGGGGGACCCCGAGCCCCAGACAACAGCCCTGAGCTGGGCGTCTGCTTCGGGCTCCAGGCCCCTCTGCTCAGCAGATCCACCCTCCCCGCGCCCGCCCCCGCCCCCGCCCCGCCCCCAGCTTCAGTTTCCTCCTCTGCGAAATGGGAAAATGGTTATACTGAGTTCACCGGCAATGCTATGAGAGGTAAATGAGTTCTCAACCATAAAGCGTTGTGACTTCCTTCTTGCACTCTTGAAGTGTTTTATTCTGAACATTGAACACTCAATAGATGTTTCTTGAGCTCTATGCACTGGGAGCTGTTTTGAGCTCTGGATGAAGTCTGTCCAGCTTGGGCCAGGGATAGTGGCTGAAATAGAAAAGCTCAGTAAGTGAAGGGTGCCCCTGCCTCCCACCCCACTTGACAAGCCGGGTGGAGTGAGTGGCTTTTGACTGTAGAGTGGACACCTCCAGAAGCTGCTGTTTGTTTTTCTGGTCTGGAATGTAGGACTTTGGGATGATCCCACAGAGGAGCAGGGAGCCCAGGCCATCCACTAGCTCTTTACCCTGACCTGTGGAAAATGCACTTAGTGCAGATCCGTTTCCATGCCCACTGCTCTCTGAAGGGAATGACTCTAGACTAGCACTTTGAGTTCCGCTTACCATCAGGGAATGGGGGCCAGGATAGACTGCAGCTGAGGGAATGGGCTGAAGCTGGAATCAGTGGCCAGGCCTGTGTGACCAGTTCTGATTCCTCAGTGTAATGAGTGAATGCCTAGTGTTCTCACGCCTGCCTTCCATTGCTACTGGGAGGGGCTTCACTCAGAGAAATAACTGAGAATGTGTGCATGGTGGGCTCTCCTGCAGGCTCTCAGGGGTCCCAGGGGTCCCAGGGGTCTCAGGGGTACTGGCTGAGGAGAGGGGCCATTTCATCCCCTCTTTCTACCGAATGGAGCAAAAACTCATTCCTTCCAAGAAGTCTCTAGCTTCAGTCTAAGCCCTCACCCACAGAACATGGTTCATGAAGCACCTAACTGGGACTTCAGAAGAATGAGGTGATGGTTCACACTGAAGATGCTGCTTTTCAGTTCCTTCTGTTTCATTCCCTCCGTGGACTGCAGACTCTTTGAGTGGGCCGCTGTGATGCACTGGAAAGAAGATTGGAGTAGAAATCAGGAGGCCTGAGCTCACGTTTCAGCTCCAGCACTCAGTGGCTCAGGGTGCTCCCTGAGCCTCAGTGTTTTAATCTGTTGAAGGGGACCATAATAGCTTCCCACCCAGGTGGGGTGATGATGCGGGGGATGAATGTGAGAAAGGGCCAGGCATGTGTTCTACCTTCAGTCTGTATCTACCCAAGAAAAATGAAAACATATCCTCACACAAAAACTTGTACATGGGCCGGGCGCAGTGGCTCATGCCTGTAATCCCAGCACTTTGGGAGGCTGAGGCAGGTGGATCACCTGAGGTCACGAGTTTGAGACCAGCCTGGCCAACATCATGAAACCCCGTCTCTACTAAAAATACAAAAAATTAGCCAAGCGTGGTGGTGCACACCTGTAATCGCAGCTACTCGGGAGGCTGAGGCAGGAGAATCACGTGAACCTAGGAGGTGGAGGTTGCAGTGAGCCGAGATTGTACCATTGCACTCCAGCCTGGGCAACAAGAGGGAAACTTCATCTCAAACCAAACCAAACAAAACGAAACAAACAAACAAACAGAAAATGAACAACTTGTACACGAATGTTTATAGCAGCATTATTCACAATAGCCTGAAAGCAGAAACAATCTAAATGTCCATTAACTGAAGAATGGGGAAACAAAATGTGGCATATCCACAGGGTGGAATATTATTCAGCCTTAAAAAGGAATGAAGTGTGGATACATGCCGCTAAGTGAAAGTAGCCAGATCATGTATTTCATGTATGATTCCATTTATATGAAATGTCCTGAATAGGCAAATCCACAGAGGCAGAAAGTAAATTAGTGGTTGCCTAGGGCTGGGTGGTCGGGGGAAGGGTTGGGAAGTGACTACTGATGGGTGCAAAGCTTTTTTGGGGGACAGGTGATGAAAATGTTCTAAAATTAAATGATGGTGATGGTTGCACAATTCCATAAATAACTCACACCATTGAATTGTACACCTTAAATGGGTGAACTTTATAATATGTAAATTGTATCTCAATAAAGCTGTTAACATTTTTTAATTGGGTGTCCTGAATTTAATCTTGCAACTTTACTTCTGCCCACCCTTCCTTCTTTCTCCAGTCTTGACAGCCTTCTTCTCCCTTTTGGAACATGCAGAAGGTAGTGGGGGCATTTGACACCTCCTGAAGGGTGGGGAGGAGTACGGAGGCATTAGGACATCAGATACCAGGCTGCCCAACCTCCAACGGGCATCACATAATCTCCACTGCCTCAATTTCCTCTTGTGCTTAGTGAGGGGAGGGGAAACAGAAGATTGCTTGCCCTTGCACCCTTGAAGGGGGTATTGGAGGAATCCAGGAAGGGGGCTCATGTGCTGGCTGGGCTGGGGACGGCTGCACACGACAGCATGAGCACTTAGGAGTCCGTCACATGGCGGATCTTCCAGACAGTGGAGGAGTGGCAGGTGGATTGCCCAAAGGCACCTCTTTGGCTGCAGACAGATCCAGAGAAGCCAAGAAATCCGTGCCTGGTGCCCTGTGGGCTAGGATTAGCGGTACGGGCTGGTCCACAGGCTGTCATATGAAGAGGAGCGGTGCTGTGATAAGGCTGAGTCTTTAATGGAGCTGCAGCGTGGCTGGCCAGCTGCTGACCTTGTGTCAGGTGGGGGAGTGGAGGGGCTTCAAGGAAGGGCTGGGTTGTGGCTGAAGACCTGGGAGCCTCACCTCAGGACTCAGTGGCGGTGGGGGAGGGCTTGGAGCTGGTGAGGAGCTGGTGAGGAGCTAGATACTTCCAGGTCTGTGGACACCCAGAGCTCCGTGCCCAGCCAGCTGTCATTAACTGCTTAGCTCCTTGGGGTCTGTGCTCAGCCTCATTTTCCTCTGATTCATCTCTTCCTTCCCACTGCTCCCATCCCTCAGGCTGTGAGCATGCTCCGAGCTCCCCATCTAAAACCAACCTCTTTTTGACCCCTCTCTTCTGCAGCTCACCATCCATCTTTTGTTCTCCTCCCTGCCAAGCTCTTTCAAACTAGACTTGTCTGCACCCACGGCCTCCAGCTGGGGCAGGTGCTCCAGCGTCAACCCTGGAGAGGCGCGCCGACTCTCCCATCCCTTGAAGGTTCTTTGAGGTCTGCACACCCTTCTTTTCACCAAATCCAACCACAATCCCCCTCAGACCTGTCACAACTGCCCTTCAGCCCTCAGCCCTGAACCACTCAGCACCCCTGCTTCCTCAAACATCTGGTAGCATTCTCCTCCCTCTGGCTGCCCTCCCTCTTGATTACTGTGGGCACAGCCCAGCTTCCCCCTAACCTCTTCTCTGCATCCTCTCCTGGGTGACCTCATCTCTCCCAGGACCTTGACTGTCACCTCCATTGCGATGACTCAGCTCCAGCTTCGATGAACTCTTGGCCACTTCCAGAAGCCTGCTGGACCCTTCCCACGGGCACACCCACCCCAGCCTGTCCAGGAGTGGACTTCGTATCCCACCCCTGTCCCCCCAGCCAGCCTCTCCATCAAGTCGCTCTCATCCTTGTCAGCATTTCCCTGGGAACCCAGCTCGAAATCAAGTCATCTTTGCCTTCTCGGTCCCCCTGCCGCTGTGCCCGGAAGTCCCCCCATGAGACATCTTTCCTGTCCATCTTCGTCTCTGTTCCCACTGCTTCCTCTTAGGTTTAGCTTTTCATCATCTTTGACCATGACTGCTGCCTCTGGGAGGTCTGCCTACTCTTACCGTCTCCTCTACTCTGCACAGCGTCTCGGATGATCTTCCTACAGCATCTTTCAGATCCTTCAGAAAATCCTCAAAAATCCTCAAAAGCTTCCCATTAACAACAGAGCAGACTATTTGTCTAGTAATTTACAACCTAAAAAATACTTTCACGTGAAGTCAAAGAGGTAATGTTCTTCTTCTTTTATGTATAAGAGAACTGAGGCTCAGGGAGATGTGGGGGATGGTCGGGCTTCACTCAGTGCTACAGGGCAGGTCTGGGGCTGGGCGGAGGCCTTCTGTGGGTGAGGCCTTTAAGTGGGTGCATCACCCACTACAGTCCTTTCAGCCTGCCCTGGGGGTCTCGGCAATGTGGCCCCTAGTTGTCACTCTGCTGCTCAGCCTGGGGCCCGTCAAGCCCTTGGTCTTGCCCACAACATGCCGCGCAATTTCAAAAGCCCCTTGCTCAGGCTGTTCGTCCCCTCTCTGCCCACAAAGTCCTCCTCCTGGCCACCAGCCCGTCTCTGCAAGCACAGAGCATCCAGCGCCTCCTCCAAGGCCCAGGCTATGTGTTGCTTTCTCCAGAATCCTCCCCAGCCCCTGCCAGCCAGTATGGTCCTCTCGTGTCCAGGACCCCTGGGACACACCGCCGGGAGCTCCAGCTGATTCTGGGCAGAGATTGACCCAGCCGGGCTTACATCCCCCATGCTTGCAGCTCCTGGGGGCGTCTTCATAGTAGGTCCTCCACAACTGCCAAAGAAATAAATGATGGCTGGGGCTGCCCGAGATTCCCCTCCTTGAGGAAGCCCTTTCAGACCCATTGGCCAGCAGTTCCAATCGCCTCCCGAACGTCACACACACCTTCATGAGTAAAACACACCACACGTGGCTCACGCTTCAGACGGTCCAGGTTCTAGCGTCAGTTTCTGCCACATGGCTTCCCTTGAATCTCTCTCATCTGTGACCAGGGGCTAATAACACCTGTTTTGCCGTCTCCCTGGTGTGTAGTGAGCATTCAATGGGATGCTGTCTGTGGGAATTTCTATATTTTTATTACAGCAACAAGAATGAGCTTGAATGGAATTCTTTTATAATCATGAAACTTCTGTGCACCTGTGAGGGGCTTTTATAATTATATACATGTGTGTCCACCTAACATTGCCTCCCCTGCTGTAAGGTGGGGAGGGTGTGAAAGCCCAGAACCCTCGCTGATCAGGTTCTAAGATGCAAGCGCTGGTGCTTGAGGGATTCTCTAGGGATTCCCTGAGGAATAGGTGGGACCCGGGTTCAAAAGGAGGCTTACTTCCGGGACCCTCCTGGGCACCAAGCCCTGCTCCTGATGGCTCTGTGGGTATGGTCAAGTTCATTCCTTCTCTAGGTCTCAGTTTCCTTATCTGGAGGGTTTGGGTTAAAGCTCAGATTTTCACTTTTTTTTTTTTTGAGCCACAAAGCTAATAAAATCTTATGTTCAAAGAAAGTCTTCTACCAGAAAACCATATATGAAATAACCAGAGCTGCCCCATCTAAAACAGAGCCCCCAAGAGCCCCCAAGACCTTACTCTCCTTCCCTGCCTCAGAAGACCTGAGGCTCCTCTGTGGAGCCCTAAGGGGTCCTCAGTGTATCAAGACCCAGAAAACATGTCCTGATCCTCACTGGAGGGACTGTGTATTGGGGGTCCTTCGTGCCGTCCCTACCTCAGTGTGAACTCTCTGGAGACTGCGGGAGACACTATGGTTTTCCTACACCTCTACCTCCAATGCTCAACTCACTGTCCGATACATGAAAGGGGCTCAAGAAATGTTTACCCAACAGAATAAATGAATGAATGGTGATGAGGTTAGGAAAGAAATGTGAACGACAGCCTTGCTTTAGGAGGTAGGAAAAATTCCATGCTGTCTGGAGGAACAGGAACTAAATGGCCTTGACCTACCCCATGCCCGCATCCCCCTCACAAACACACAGGGAAACAGGCAGGCTGTGTTCTTCTCGTAGGCCCAGTATCTGGCCCAGAGAAGCCCCGACTGGGGAGAAGTGAGCTGGAAGGAGGGAGAAGGAAGCAGAGAGACTCAGACTGCAAATCTGAGCAGAAGGAGGGTGGTAGAAAAGGAGAGGAAGGGACTTCCAGGAAGTCACTGCAGGGGCAGACAGGCATGGTTATGGGCCCTCAAGGGAAGGGCTAAGGTCTTTCCTGACACCCAGAAATCTTTTTGTCCCAACCGCCTGCTCTTATCCAACAGTTCTCCTCCTTGTGCACACACTGGGCAGAGCAATGCTGGAAAAACAAGACAGGGACCAAAATATCCTTCTGCCTGCTGGAAAGGACAGGAAAATTCTAAAACCTCCTCCAATTCCTAAGCTCTCCCCACAGGGCTGAGCCAAGCTTTGACAGCCCCTACCTTTTGCCTTCTGTTCTGGGCTCCCGAGAGGTGTGCTGGGATACTTCATCCTCCGTGGGCAGTCCTTCCTGACTTGGGGAGTCCAATTTGGAGAGTTCCACGGAGAAGAGAGCAGGGCTGCTCAGCAAAGTTCCCCTCACCCAGGAGTCCCTCCCCTGCAGCCCTCCATCTCCCTCACCCACCCCTGCCCACAGTGAGGAGGCTGCAGGTGCAAGGGGCCAGTGGAGAAACCCATGACAGGGGCTTAGGAAGGAAAGAAGTAGGACCAAGAGGTGAAAGGACCCTAGGGGATCTTTACACTTACTGTGGCATTATCTCACCCCCGGATCACATGTAAAACAGAAGCTTTGCATTGGGCACCTTGGAGGGCACCTCAGCTTGGTACCCGTGGGATTTGGTACCAACATGAGCATCCCTGGCTGCTCAGGGCAGATTTCATAATTTTGCACTCTTTCTCTTTCCCTTTCCACTCCCACCCCTCGCTGGCCTGGTGCTGCCTGCTTGCCTTTTTGATAAAATATCAGTGCTAGGTGCTTTCCAAAAGCCAGCTCATTATGGTCTCATAACCATCCTACCCCGAGGTGTATTCCTGCACCGATGTTATGGGTGGGGAAGCCAAGGCTCAGCTGTCGAAGACAGGTGAAGCTTGGAGGGTTGCATGGTTGCAGTGTGTGAGGGGACCCTCGTGTGGGGAGGGTCATTGTCAAAAGGTCCTGGACACATTGTGAAAGGCAGAGAGTTCTGGCTCCACTTGTTTGCCTACAGCCTTCCTCATTGTCCTTTCCTGGTTATAGACCTGTGACCTCGCCTCTCCCTCTACTTGCCTCAATCACAAATTTCCCCTCCTCTCAGCCCTGGTATCTGCGCATCATGGGGGAGCCGGGACTTAGAAGGTTTCCAGGTGGAAGGACCGAGTTCTGTGGTCTCCATCTCAGCCCATCTCTCCCACCCTGGAATGGACTTACCAGCTGTTGGTGTAAGATGGGTAAACTGAGTCCAGTAGAGGAAAAGTGACCTGCTTGAGGTCACACAGACAGTGAGTGGCAGAGTAGAGACTAGAAGCAAGCTCCAACTCTTCTGACTCTTGGTCAAATCCTCTTTTCACCGCACCAAACGGCGCCGCTGCACAGACCATCCCAGCACCAACCCCCCGACCTCCGTTTCAAGCCAGAGGACTGAGGAGACCGTGTGCTTCTCCCGAGGCAGCCCTCTGGAATAGACCCTGCCTTGCCCAGTTCTGCTGTCACATAGGCTGGTCTAATCCCTGAGGCCTGGGAACAGGCAGGGGTGGAAGGACGTAGAAGAGAGGGGAAGAAGATTTTGGCTTATTTTGCCCAGAACTGAGAAACAAACAAATTACCTAAATGCATTATGCAAATGCATCCACTACATGTCAGCAAACTGGAGGAGGGAGTGTATGTGTGTGGTGGGGGTGGGTGTTCAGGTGCCCTTCAGAGCTGAAGATGCTGCCCATGGTTAGAGGGGAAGACCCCACTCACCCACCCCCACCCCCAAGCTGGGTCCATCTGGGTCTTCGCAGGCTCTTCTGACATCTAGATGAGTGACCGTTGGGAAGCTGAGCATAAACTGAGAGAGAAAGCCTTGAGCCAAAAATGGCTTAAGCCAAGGGAAGGGCGGAGAGGCAGGGGATGGTGGAAAAGACCTTCATGTCTGGCTGGCAGGCGAAGCGGGCAGAATGTCAGGTGCTGCTGGGTGTGTTGACAAAGTCAGCAGGGGAAGTGGAGGGGGATGAGGAGGAAGGAGAGTTTACACTTCCTAATTCCTCCAAGTAGCTTCTAGGGAAGGAACATAATTTTGTTGCCTGAGGCACTGATTCCTTGCTCCCCCTAAAGGCAGAAATGAAAGTTATCTTTCCCCACAGAGGACTTTTCCCGCCTCCTCAGAAGACTCACCTGCCCTTCCTCCCTGCCTCCCAGCTACCCAGGTTCCAGGTCCCACCTCATTCCTCAGGGTGATTCAGTGCAGCCCCCAGCAGAGGCAACATACTCACCCTCCTCTGGCAGAACCCTTTTCCTTGCATTCTGTGATCCAGTGAGGGGGAAGGGCCTCCAGAGGCCGGGTTGGGTTGTGGCGAGATAACCTTGGGGGCCCCAGCCTGACTCTTTGCCCTCCTAGGACCTTGCCCAATACCTACAAACAAGGATTTCTCAGGTTGGGATCTCTATGAGGCATTCATCTGTTTCCAGGGTCTGGTCATTAGTTAATATCAGTGGACTGCCTAAACGGAAACTGGCAGAAGGTGGCCAGGGGAGGAGTCTGGACAGTGGAGAGAGGCAGGAGTCTGGGTTTCCTATTTTGGTCCTGTTAGGATTTGCCCTTTGACCTTTCGGGAGTCCCTTCCTTCCCTGAGCCTGCTTCTTTGTCTATAACATGAGGGGATTTAACTGGATGCCTTATGGCTTAGCGCTGTGCCACGAAGAGGAAGAAGGAAGGAAAAGGAGCGCAGAGCGGGTGACACTGACAGGGGATCTCGGGAGGAGCCTCAGCATCCTCATCTGCAAAATGGAAATTGCTAATAGGCTGAAAGGCAGTTCTGAAAGACGGATGAGAAAGGAATATAATGACTCAGGGTAGAGTCTGCAAAACAATGTGGGATGAGAAGATGCAGGGACTGGTTTTATGGAGAGAGCGGGGTTTTAGGATTGGGGGAGGGTGCCAGGGCTACCAACTGACTGCTTTGGGAGGTCCCACAGGGGGCATTCTGAAGTCCTGCAGAAGAGATGATTTGCCGTGAGGGGTGAGGGGTTGCTGGAGGCCAGACCAGGGCTCCCAGGAGTCCTGCATTGAGAAGGGAGAGAGTAGACACAGGAAGGCTGCTCCTCTGTCCAGTCCCGAGGCTGGGCGCACACACCAGGCCCTTCGAAAAGCTCACATTTTTCCAGCTTTTCTCACCCAGTATTACTTCCTTTGTTAAGAGGAGGGGGTGGGGGAGGAGACGGAGGGTGAGGAGGGAGGGGCCCGCGAGTGCCGCCGCCGCCCCCGCCCCCTCCCGGTGTGCGGAGCCCGATTGTCACTCAGCTCCCGCGCTGGGGGCGACAGAGGCGCCGGCGCCCAAGTCGGGTTCCAGCCAACTACCATCCCTCTAGACCTTACAGGCCGGCCTTGGCTTTCCCAGGAATCCCTGGAGCGAGCGGCTGCTGAAGGCGTCGAGGCGTGGGGGCACTTGGACAGAACGGCTCAGGTAGCCGGGAGCTCTGCCAGCTTTGGTGACCTTGGGTAAGTCTGAGCCTCGGTTCGTCCCTTGGGCTCCCCAACGAGGGTGCAGGACAGAGCTGAAAGAAGAGACCGGAATGCCCCCTTGGGGCAGGCCATGGGCAAGGGTCCCCGACAGAGGTGGAGCGGGACCAGGGGACTGCTAAGATCCAGGCACCAGACGCGTCTCAAGTGGGTGGGCGCAGGGCAGGTGCGCGCGCGCCGGGTTATAGGGAGCGACGCCCCAGTCTGGTCCTAGGCTCAGTTCCTAGACCCACGTCTGCCACCCCAGTCCCAGGTGCGAAACAGAGGCGCTACCTCTTTAAAAGCGTCCGGGGCTGAGTCTCTGCCGCACCATGTGATTGCTTGAAAGGCCGGGCTGGGAGCGCTGCGGCGGGAGCCGGAGGACTATGAGCTGCCGCGCGGTGTCCAGAACCCAGCCCAGCCCTACCGCGCGCGGCCCCGAGCTCTGCCGCCCGGAACTTTGGGCACTGCCTCTGGGACCCCTGCCGGCCAGCAGGCAGGATGGTGAGCTCCCTGCATCCTGTGCACAGGGGTGGGCAGAGCCAGGCATGGGAGACCCGTGTGTGTGTGCGCGCGCGTGTGTGTGTGTGTGTGTGCGTATGTGTGTGTGTGTGTGTGTGTGCGCGCGCCCGCGGGCGCGCGCGCTGGGAGCTGCCTCACACCTGATAAAAAAGCCAGTGGAGGAGTGAGCGCTGCTATTTTAAGTTGCTGAATGGAACCTGTGGGGATGATAAAGGGAAGGGACAAAGATTAGGCAGAGAAGGGGCTGGGTGCCCCTCCACCCTGGGCAGGAACTGCATGTGCCAAGTGGGACACGTCTCCGTCTCCGCGGGTTACCTGGAGTTCCAGGGCAGCCTGGGCTCCCTGCCCTCCCAGACGGGCCTCCCCATCCCAGGCTTCCCTGACTACACAGGTGCTTGCCTCGTGCCCTTTGGTGCCCGTCTGCTGATGTTCCCAGCCTGCTTCCGCCATGCCGCCCTCCATCTCAGCCTTCCAGGCCGCCTACATCGGCATCGAGGTGCTCATCGCCCTGGTCTCTGTGCCCGGGAACGTGCTTGTGATCTGGGCGGTGAAGGTGAACCAGGCGCTGCGGGATGCCACTTTCTGCTTCATCGTGTCGCTGGCGGTGGCTGATGTGGCCGTGGGTGCCCTGGTCATCCCCCTCGCCATCCTCATCAACATTGGGCCACAGACCTACTTCCACACCTGCCTCATGGTTGCCTGTCCAGTCCTCATCCTCACCCAGAGCTCCATCCTGGCTTTGCTGGCAATTGCCGTGGACCGCTACCTCCGGGTCAAGATCCCTCTCCGGTGAGTCCACAGCCGCTGAAGGTACTCGCAGCACCGCATGATGGCTGGCTTGAGGGCCACCTAGAAAGGATAAAAGGTAGAGCATAAGACCCCAAGTAAGCCAGATGTTCTTTGGGCCATTGTGCTCCAGTCCTCACTCAGGCTTCCAGTGCTCTGCTCTGCCGTGCCAGAGAAATGGGAGGGGGATGGGTGGCTGGAGGACTGGGCTGTGAACTTGTCAGTGCCCATGATCTCAGAGCTGAAGCTCCTGCAGCCAAGGAACCTGAGGCTGCCTGTCAGGCCTGGGGTGGAGGTGGGAGATTTGGAGAGGCCACCAAGACAGGGTCACAGTGAGTGCTGGGTAGGAATGAGCTGAGCTCTGCCAGTCCCAGGGAAGAGGATGAGGCAGAGAAGAGAGTTCAGGTGGGGTGATGACATTCTGAGGGGAGCACAATGGGCAGGAGTGCCGCTTCTCCAGCCAGACTCCGGAAGGGTTCCTGAAGGCACGCTTTGGCTGTCTTGTTCACCAGGTATCTCTGCCCTAGCTAGCTGTACCTTCCAAGGTTTTCCTGCTGAACCCAACAGTCTGATTACCTTTGCCTCACTCCCACTTGTGGGATCTCTGTTATAGACAGGAGGAGGGAAAAATGCTGGTGCCTACTCTTAATATTCCTGTTCTGTTGCAAAACCATGTCTTTGCTGGTCACAGCAGAGGTGCTTATGCTGCTCTGAGGCAGCACTGAGATGGGTGGCCTGATGATGCAGTCCTCAGTGTGGGTGTCCAGTCCATGTTGGGGCTCCCTGCTTGGAGCTGCCAGGCCATAATCTCATCACCAGGCAGTGCCTTGGGCTACCAAGCGCCAGCGAGTGCCTGGGCACATTTCCAGGGATTGGCCCTGCTGGGATGCTCTTATGAGGCGTGTTTGCCCCCTCTTTGAATTCTTGCCCCCAGTAGATTCCTGTTCTCTGGGGGTGCTCTGGCTGTGTCCAGCACCTGCTATCCCCAGCATAGCTTCTCTGGGCTATAGGGCCTCTGACCTCTCTTGGCCCCTTGCCCGAGCAGGTCTGGGCACCCATGTTTCTCCCTTTGTGTTATATTTGTGTGCATTTAACTTTTCAAAGCTTTCTTCATGCATGAATTTTTCCTGTTATCATCATGCTGCTGTGAGGGAGGTGGAGCAGGAGCTTTTAAAGGGGAAAGTAAGACTCAGAGGGTCTCCTTGAAGCTCATTGGGAGAGAAGTGTGATCTAATCATCTGCCTTCCTTCCTGATTCCCCCATGCCCAGCAGCTTGATGCCAGCCTCTCTGCTCTGTCTACCTCCTCTGCCCTCCAGGTTTCCCAGGGCAGGTGGGGTGAAGAAGGGAATGCAACCAGAAACCCCATAGACTCATCCACTGAGGGGTCTACATGCAGCATTGGTCCCAGGTTGCTGCTGGGCTGCAGAGATAAAGCTGGTCTCAGTGCATTAGAAGAGCAGGGCCTCTGAGCCTGGCCATTATAACAAAGTGTTGCCACATTTGGAAGCTCATGCAGATGTGCAGCTAGCTGTAGGAAGGCTGCTGGAGAAATTCTGTCTGCGGAGTGGGTGCCAATGTGAGCCAAAGGTCTCGTTTTGCTGTGACAGAATGTGCCCTACTTGCCCTGTGGGGCTGGAATGGCTGTCTGGTGGGAACAGCAGGCTTATTCCTTCAGGAGGCACCTGCTGTGGCTTTGGAGCTGGGGTCCTGGGGAGCTATCCTCTGAGGGTGGAGGCAGGGGCCTGCACAGAGGCTGCCATGGGCCTGAGTTCAAATCCTTGTTGGGAATTTCTGCTGTGCAACCTTGGGAAAGTCACTTATTTAGCCGCTTTAAGCTTTAATTTCCTTATTTATAAAAGGGAACATTAATAATAGTACCTACTCCCTATGGTTACTGGAAGGATGTAATGAACTCGTATACACGAAGCACTTGTGTTAATACTATGCCTTATATATTATATGCAAGCCATAGGGAGGTCTTATTTGTAGTTTTATTGTCACGATTAACATATGGCTCAAGTGCGGCTGGATAGGCAAGCCCTACTCCTGCCACTCACGCTCTTAGGTGTCATTCGGTGTCAACACACACACATGAAGAAACACACACACAAACACATACACAACACGTCTCCAAGGAGGTGCCAAAGTGCTTTTAAGTTGTATCTGTACATGTCCCTACTCCTCTAGTGGAGTGTTGATGCCTTAAGGCAGTAACCACCTCTTACTAGTTTTCGCAAATTCTTCAGAATGCCCAGCTTAGTGTCCGGCACATCACAGACCCTCAGCAAACATTGATTGAATTGGCCAGGTTTCCGGAGCATGCACAGTTGAGCCTCAAGCAGGCCTTCCAGAAGTCTAACCTCTCACTTTCTTGCTGTGGACTAGACCTGTCCCCGCTTCTGCCTCGGGGCCCTGATCACAGATGCCCCCACCGGCTCCGTGTGGCTCCTTGACAGCCACACACCAGCAGTGCCCAGGAGTGTCCTGCCCCATGGAGAGGAGCCTTTCTCCTGAGTTATGGAAAGGCTGCTGGGGCCTCGCTTCTCAAACAGGCATCCTGGCTGAGGTGTTGGGCCACTCTGGGCTCCTGCATGTCACTGCCCAAGTACGCTGCAAGAGGAACACTATGCTCTGGTCCCCTGTATGCGGCTGGAGTCAGCAGGCTGCTAGGTCTATGAAACCCCTCTTTGCCAGGGGTCCCTGGGCACCAGGCTTCTGCCCTGGCATGCCAGTCAAAGGTAGATGTGGTGCTGGGCAGACAGAGTCATACTGATCAAGCATTGGTGAGGCGTGTCTGGGGCACCCAGATACAGGTGTCTGCTGGCCCTCACCAAGTGGGGCATGGTTTGATCAGTCAACCACAAATTTTATTTCTTTCTACTTGGCAGAAAACCAAGAGAGAAAAGAGATTCACATCATATAATATGATCTAGTTACAAACTTTTTTTTTTTAAAGCTCAAATTGTTGATTCATCAGTAACCTGTGGTCATTTGCATATGTTTTGCATGCTATTTGCATAGCGCCTCCAAATGCTTGGTAATTGAAACCCTATTCCCTTCAGCTCCTAGTTCTAGGGAATCTCTATCATTTGCCCCCTACCCCCTCACCTGGAGCTTTCTTGGTGGCACTCTGGCAATTTGGTGCTACTCCTGGAGGCTAGTTGTAGGGAAGGGTGCTAACAGAGGGCTCCCTGACCAAACCTCTCTGTGGGAAGGGGACCCTAGCAAAGGGGCCATTCATGGCCAGCTGGGTTGGAGTACAGTGGAGGGTTGGTGAGTGTTTTCGAGTCAGGCAGACCTGAGTTTGAACCTTGCTCTGTTACTAATTAGCTGTGCAAACTTTGATAAGTTATTCAGCCTCTCTGAGCCTTTCCCCTTCACCATCTGTTAAATGAAGGGGTTGGAGGTAGGGCATGGTGGCTCATGCTTATAATCCCAGCACTTTGGGAGGCCAAGATGGGTGGATCATTTGAGACTAGGAGTTCAAGATCAGCCTGGACAACATGGTGAAACTCCATCTCTACTAAAAATAAAAAAATAAAAATAAATAGCTGGGTGTGGTGGCACACACTTGTAATCCCAGCTACTTGGGAGGCTGAGGCAGGAGGATCGCTTGGATCTGGGAGGCACATATTGTAGTGAGCCGAGGTCACGCCACTGTACTTCAGCCTGGGAAACAGAGCAAGACTCTGTCTCAATATAAATAAATAAATAAAAAGAAATAGATGAAGGGGTTGGATTTGAGTTCTCCGAGTTTCCTTGCAGCAATAATTCTGTGGTTTTCCTTATCCTGACTTCTGCCAGTGCTATGCTGGGATCACGGGAGGGTTGCGTTATGTGTTTTAGCTCCTAGTGAGTGTGCGCTAGGAACAATGCTATGTTTTTAATATACTTTACCTCATTCAACGTTCACAGTCTCTCACTAGCAGAGCTTATTGTTACCCCCATTCTACAGGCAATTTTTTTCTTTTTTTTTTTGAGACAGAGTCTTGCTCTGTTGCCCAGGTGGGAGTGCAGTGGCGTGATCTCAGCTCACTGCAACCTCCAACTCCCGGGTTCAAGCAATTCTCCTGCCTCAGCCTCCTGAGTAGCTAGATTACAGGTGCGCGCCACCAAGCCCAGCTCATTTTTTGTAGAGACAGGGTTTTACCATGTTGGCAGGCTGGTATCGAACTCTTGACCTCAGGTGATCCACCCACCTTGGCTTCCTAAAGTACTGGGAATACAGGCATGAGCCACTGTGCCTGGCCTCTCTATAGACAATTCTTTAGCTAAATTGAGGGCTGAGGCTTGGGGAGTTTTAGTAACTTGCCCAAACAGCTTGGCAGGGGCAGAGGCAGGATTTGACTCTAGGCCTAAAAGATGCCTTTAACCAGTAAGCCCATGTGTATCTTGCATCAGCCCAAGAAGCTGTAGGATTTTTAGAGGAGTTTCCATGAAGCTGTCAGTAGGGTGATTTTTCTCCTCTGATGTTGGCCAATGGCCTCTGCAGTCTGCTCAGCCCCCGCCCAGCATCTTCCCCTCTCTCCACCTTCACTCCAGTGGGCAGTCGGGCCCCTGGCAGTTCTGCCTCTGTCCACAGCTGGAAGCTTGCCCCACTGGGCTGCTGACCCGGGGAAGCACAGCAAGGATTGGAGGAGCTTGGCGTGCTGAGTCAGAGCTGGAGTGGGAAAGAAATCTTGTAAATTAGGGCACGTTCGCTTTTAGGCATCAATTTAGCCCTCCCCACCGTGGCTAACCTGGGCTTTTCTTGACAACCCTAAAGTGACTTGTGTGCCGTCACGCCCTCGCAGGTAACTGTCTGTGGCTTCTGCGTCCCAGAACGGTTGATCTCAGGTCATGCCATCTGCTTTCTGAGAGGTAGGCCGTCTTCAGAACCTGTGTCTAAGGCTGGATTAGTCATAGCCCAGAGTGTCTGAGAGGGAAGAGGAGTTCGAGGAAGCCCGGAAGCCCAAACTTTCACACTTGCGGACTGAGGAGGAAACCGAGGCTGGGGAGAGGA